TTAAAATGGAGTCTTTAATTTTTTTATATTATATACAGCCTACACACGGAAAAAGATTTAAAAAAAATCCTTTTGATCTCAGAAACGTCACATAAAAACCACTGGATTTTTTAGGATATACTTCACGCATAACCTACATTTGAGATCGAATGGATTCCGTAGTCTAAATCCTTTAGGTATAATACAAAAAAACCTATGTTTATATGTATAGAAATAAGAGATAATTATAACTTATCAATAATATAATACCAATAACTACATCCTTTACTGCATATTAAAAATTTTCGTAAGACTGCGTTTCTTTTTGGGTGGTGCATTTGATCGCACCGGTGTATTATACGAATTATTTGCAATCACCGCCTCATTCATTATTTCCGATAATAAAGCTGTTGGTGGTGTATCAAAATAACTTGAACGTTTACGAGTTATTGGTGTGCATTGTGGCTCAGCCACATGTGTCTCAGATGCCTCAGTCGTTTCCATTTCCACCTTTTCATCTTCGACAATTGATTCTTCAGATGAGTTGAGTTTTTTCGGTTTATCTTTTCCAATTAACTTTCGAAAATCGCCTACATTAACCAGCCTCATTTTACCACCCAAACCAGAACCACTAATTTTAACAAGAAATTTCGTATCGATTAAATGTTTTAATCGTTCGGCAATCAATGCCTTTCGACGTGGGTTCATAGTAATTACATATTTGTTTATTATGTATTTTTTCAATTTGAACAAAGAGACACCTGTTTTGGTTTGTAAATTAATTAGGGCATCGTCGACCATATTGGATGTTTTGGGTAATTTCTTTTTGATCACTTTCACCTCATAGGAGTGTACCACAGATTCATTAGCGCCTTACACAAAAAAGAAAGGCTATTGAATTTTATTTTGGAATTAATTACAAATTGACTTACTTGACATTTTGTTCGCTTTAATTATCACTCTTTCAATTTTTAATATTGGTCCACTCCTGGCATTGTTATTGTTTTTACCAAAAAGTATTTACTCCTGATAAAATTATCGTGTAAAAAATATATTTTCATTGATCGGTGTCTCACATAAAATGCTGTCAAAAATATAACGGTACTTCTGGGTCATTAAGGTTACCATACCTTTTTACTAGTGCTATGAAATACTTATATAATGTTTACACGATATTATTATTTAATAAAAAATATTTAACTTCGTCGGGTCCAGCATAGAATAGAATCCTCTTCCTTTTGCGAACTACAGAATGAAACTTTTTTTTAATAATGAAGTCAATCAGAAGCTAAGTTGAAATTCCAGGAACATAAATCGTGGCAAATTTCAATACGAAAACAGCATCTGGACCGTACAAACGGCGGAGAATCAGCTACATTCCGCAGGATTATGATAAATTCATAGGTATTAATGCAATAAATAGTGGTACTATTCTAGAGACCCTAGACCAACCAAAGAACAAAGAAAGTTATATTTAAAGTACATTTACATATACGATTTTAAATCGACTCGATTAACGAAATCCAGAAATACACCCTAATTGTTTACACATACCCTTAATCATGATCTAAATGCCGATCAGCTGATGTTTGTTAGTATACATACAAAATTATTAATTTGCGCCAAAAATATTTGTTTGCAATTTGAAAAAGAATAGAAGAATTACCACAATGGAAATGTTTTTGCAATACTGTGATCGTTTGGAAAGTAAAAAAAAAAAACATCTAAAAACACAAAAATTCTATAATTAATTTTTATTTTCCTTTGATCTGTCATTTTTGTATTTGTCAGCCGTTAAATTTAAAAACAAACGGCATGTAAAACAGTTGCAAATTTTGGTACATTGTGAGAGAGTTGTATTTTTTCGTACAAAACCCGCGTTGCATCTCAGTAGTATCATGATTTCGATCATGATTTAAAATAAATCCTGCTGCACGATGATTAAATTTGTGTGGTAAATCATGGTAAATTTAGCCTGATTAAGAAAATAAACCCTGATTCAGCCTTTAATCATGATTAAATGTTATATGTAAATTCGCTTTTAGATTAAAATTGCATCACTTTTACAGTAGACCCCGCGGATGCAGAATAAAAGACACCGCTTTATTCGAGGAGATCCTATTGCTCTTCCCATAAGCTACAATAATCGCAGTACTACATAACTATCCCGTCCAGTATTCATTACATCGGAAGTTAATGGACATTTGTAGAACGTAAGTCTTCAAAACTGGCTTCAATTTAGTTTTTTTTTCTGGCGCCCAGCACTTTTCAAAATATTCTTGTAAAACATTGTCGGAATAGGTCCACTTATTTGTTATGTATTCTTTATAAAGATAGGAAAATTTTGCCCACACTCATTCCTTATAACTTTGCTTTACTTTGGGGTTGAAAACTTTATTTCAAATATCTCTTACAGCCTGTTTCTCTAAGACGATCGAATGTCTATTCGAACAAATGGTCACTCGAATTCGAATCAAATTTGGTTTCTGTAACAAATAGTACAAAATTGAAAATGTACAAAATTAAACTTACATATATTTTTACAACTATGTTCAAATTTTATTTTGTAAAAACATGAATGAAAAATTTAAACGACACGTAAAATATATTTCAAAATTTTGTATTTTGTTAAGAGAATTGTGTGGTGTGATTTTTCGGAAAATTTTGGTTCATAATTCGCGTATTTACAATCGCGGAGATGGTTATATCTGTTTGTTTGTGAAACTCTTTTGATTTTCCTATCCATGATACTCCAAAGATTTTTCTATAGGGTAAAGATCTGATGATAGTGTTGGCTATTATAAAACTCCTATTTTTTGATTCCCGCAAACAATCTTGCAATACTGTGGCATGATCCTTTCATTTGTGGACTTTCTCAAGGTAAAGCTTTTGCGAAAGTCAATCTGGCTTTCCGATTCTTTTCAGAAATTAAAAAAAAAAACTTTTTCCGGGCATGTAGACCTGCTACTTTAGCTCGTCTCTTCTTGAGCTTATGCCCAAAGATAACCATCTCAGAAATTCCGCTGAACTATGCTATGACAATTTGTTGATCAGTACGAACTGATGTTCCTTTGCACCCTTCCTCCGCCCAACTAAAATTTCAGAACTCCAAGCAAAAATTTAAACAGTTCCCTAACCCATAAATTATTATTTATTTCATAATAAATTTTGCATTAATACTTTTCTTTTTTTAAGTGAATAAAGTACCCGATTTAAAACTGAAAAAACAAACACGATATCTTTATTTTTTTGAAAAAGTTATGTGGCGGTTGATAAATGCCGCAGACTTAGGTTGGGTTTGGGGATGTGCAGTCACTAATATGTCTGCAACACTCTGAGACCAACTGGTCCATTGTGATCATCCATGAAAGATATGGAGAGATCTGTAGGGGAGAAAAAGGGGAAGGGGATAGAAAAGATAAGAGAAGATAAGAAGCTAAACAAGGAAGTATGAGGAGGTAGGTAAGAAGTAGTTTCGATGGCTACCGAAATTCGGACAGAAGACATATTACGCGCTAAGGTTGCACTAATTATTCTGTAGGTTAAAGCTGGTTCCATAGTTGAATAGAAGCTTAGATACGGTGGAATGTGAGATGCTCCGTCTCCTCCTCGTCAACACAGAGTCTGCAGTAGTCAGTAACATCATATATTGCAACACAGCCTATAGCTGTAAATAAGTGTTTCAAAAACTGCTCTACACTCGAGAACGACCTCAGATTTGATGTTGTAGGATTTGATAGCTTTAATAGCCGCCTGACTATCCACAAAGATAGTCACCGGTTCAACGACCTCTGCATCCAGACTTTTTATCAATTCCGCTGCCTTTCAGATCGAAGGCGAAGATTTCAGCTTGGAAAACAATGCAGTTGCTATCCAGCTTGTATGTAAGCTCAAGGTCTGGCCTGTCACAGTAGATGCCTGCCCCTGTACCTTCTTCCATCTTGGATCCCTCTATATAGAAAGCCAGTCCGTCCAGAGGAGCTTTGCTACGTTTCCAGTCGTCTCTACTAGGGATAACGACATCTACATCGTCAAATCTCAAGACTGGTGATAAATAGTCGTTTAGTTTTACACGTTGGCCCTTGCAATGTTACTTGATTTAGTTAGATAAGAAAATCGACAAAATGTAATATTTCTTTACTTGCTTTTTTCTTAAGATTTGACTTAATATTTTCAATATATTTGACTCCAAAAATATTTTCGAAGGAAAAATCTCACAAATTTTAAAAATATATTCTTGTCCATGCTGGAACACAGCTTATATATAACAATTGTGATGTGAACATGTCTAAACATAATAACGAATAACCGATTAACAACAACTTAAATCTACAACACCAGCTGGCACTGTCAACAATAACAGCTGATCTAAACATTTGTAAAAAAGTAGCAAACGTGGGACGGGCAAAAGGGTCATCAAATATTCTTACAACATCCTTTTGTTTGCTCTTCGAGAATCAAAACAAGGTCATGGAAACTATAAAGGAGGACCGGTGCGAAATATATGTGTAGAGAAAAGAACACGCAATAATATTCCTCGTACGGTACGAAACGCCCATAAAATGCAATAAATTCCTCCAAACAACGAAGTATAGTCCAAAAATTTGGAAAACAGGACTTCAGTGAAAAAAGGAATTATTGAAAAAGATAAAGAAAAAGTGAAAAATTAATTTATTGAATAATTAAAACAATTTATTTAGTTTCATATAACAGTGAACACTTTACGTCGAAGTTTTTCTACGCCTATGATGGCCACAAGCTGCTCCGATATTTTCCAACAGATTTTACCAGCTTCCAAGATAAATTTGCCAAATAAGATTTTAGTGTTAACAACGGTCTACCAACAATACGCCCCACCTTTCATTATAAACCGATACACCGACCGTGAACTAGACGGCAGTTTGGAATTGGTCTAAGAACTTGAAAGTCACTGTAAATTTTAATCAGAAAAAAACGAGATAAGACATTACACGGGTGTAATAGGCTAAAGTATATTTCACGACACACAGCTCTTTTCCGAAATGTCTGGCTCATCAAACGGCGCCGGCGGCGATTCTAGTGCTGGAGGTGAAGATGATTCCTTGGAATCTTCTTTGCAGGCATTCCAAACAATGCCCAAGGATTTTAATGCCGCCTTGGAAGATTTTCGTGCCGATTGGCAAAAGGAATTAAAACAAAAACAAGCAGGAGATGATGTAGCCACTAAACACAACAGCGAAACCGCAGAGGAGGAAAAAGAGGCAGAAGATATAGTTGCTCCATTGGCCATCACCAAAGACAATTCGGATCGTGATGCATTGGCAAAAAGTTATTTCCACAAGGCTGTTGAATTGGAAAAACGTGGCAAAGTCTATGATGCTATTCCATTCTATCGCAAAGCAGTACAAATAGAACCAAATATTGAATTCACCTATTATGAGCAGCAGAAGCTCAAGAGCAATGCTCAACAGCAAATAAATAACAAAAATGTTGAACATACCACAAAGAGCCAGGATAGTGCCGATGACTTGGCTGAAGATGACATCATCGATGATTTGTATGAAAAATTTCAAACGGATATATCACTCAACTATCAGGGAAAATTGATGTTAAGTAGTCGTGATCCTGGTGTCATCACAACGGAAATGCATATTTCCGAATTACCACCTGAACTGCTTTTGTATATAATGCGTTGGGTTGTGTCCTCACAATTGGATATGCGTTCATTGGAGCAGTGTGCTGCTGTCTGTAAGGGCATGTATTTGGTGGCAAGGGATGAAGAGCTGTGGCGTTCTGCATGTGTCCAGTGAGTACAAGCGCGAATATAGGGCAACATTTAATCAGAAGATTGTATTGACCAATTGGTCTGTATAGAGACCAAAGGTCTTGACCAATTGGTCTGTATAGAGACCAAAGGTCTTTATATTGACCAATTGGTCTGTATAGAGACCAAAGGTCTTTATATTGACCAATTGGTCTGTATAGAGACCAAAGGTCTTTATATTGACCAATTGGTCTGTATAGAGACCAAAGGTCTTTATATTGACCAATTGGTCTGTATAGAGACCAAAGGTCTTTATATTGACCAATTGGTCTGTATAGAGACCAAAGGTCTTTATATTGACCAATTGGTCTGTATAGAGACCAAAGGTCTTTATATTGACCAATTGGTCTGTATAGAGACCAAAGGTCTTTATATTGACCAATTGGTCTGTATAGAGACCAAAGGTCTTTATATTGACCAATTGGTCTGTATAGAGACCAAAGGTCTTTATATTGACCAATTGGTCTGTATAGGGACCAGAGGTCTTTATATTGACCAATTGGTCTGCATAGAGACCAGAGGTATTTATATAGACCAATTGGTCTGTATAGATACCACAGGTCTTTATATTGACCAATTGGTCTGTATAGAGACCAGAGGTCTTTATATTGACCAATTGGTCTGTATAGTGACCAGAGGTCTTTATATTGACCAATTAATCTGTATAGTGACCAGAGGTCTTTATATTGACCAATTGGTCTGTATAGTGACCAGAGGTCTTTATACTGACCAATTGGTCTGTATAGAGACCATATGTCTTTATACTGACCAATTGGTCTGTATAGAGACCATAGGTCTTTATACTGACCAATTGGTCTGTATAGAGACCATAGGTCTTTATTTTCCTATTTTAATTTTATATGTTTTCCTTCACAGAGTATGGGGACCCAATGTTGGTACTCTTACTACATCGGAAATACATGAAAACAAAGACCCAGCCCTAGATGAAGAATGTCCAATAATACCGAAATATTCAAGCTGGCGTCAAATGTTTATCGAACGTGAACGTGTACTCTTCAACGGTTGCTACATCAGCAAAACCACCTATGTTCGTATGGGTGAAAATAGTTTCCAAGATCAATATTATCGTCCCGTACAGTTGGTTGAATATTATCGTTATATACGTTTTCTGCCAGACGGCACAGTTTATATGATGACCAATGCCGATGAACCACAACAAGGTGTAACACGTTTGAAAAATCTTCAACAATTACGTCCGGATATTTTAAAAGGGCGTTATCGTCTATACGGCAGTACACTAACAATTGTCTTGGGTAAACAACAGCAATCGTCGAAATTCATAACCAGCACTAATGTGGGAGGCTATAGCCGCCATCGACGTGGCAGTTCAGTATATGATGAGGCGGCACTAAACAGTATTAAATATTGTATTGAATTTCGTATATTGAATACCTCCAAGCGGAAGTTTGCTCAATTGGCTTGGCTGCGTTATGCGGTGGTTCAGGTGCGCAACAAACATGAAACCACTTCGGAATTCGATTTGACACCATCAAAATATCCACCATTGTGGTTTTCACCGGTGCGTAGTTATCATTTGGTGGCCGATACACCATTAATATAAATCTATAAGATGAAATAAAATATAATACAAAAAACGTTTTATTTGGCTGAAGACAGAAAATGAATACAACAACAGCTTTATAAAGAGTGATTTTGTTCAAAAATTAAAAATATATTTTGAGCTTTAAATATAGTTTTTTTTTTGGTTCACCATATAATTACTTTTTCTCTCTCTATTGTAAATATTTGGAAATAAAAATTATGAATTAATAAAGTTAACAAATTTATTTTGTAAATTTATTAGTGGAAAAGAAGGTGCTACAGAACTCTTTGTAACCCACCAAATTTTACTCCCTAATTTCCAAAATCTTAACATGGAGTGTAGAGTTATTTCCATTTGGGATGTTAAGGGTGTCGAATACGGGGAGGAACACGAGAGATGTCGAACAGTCGTCGTTTGGTATTTGTATTTTTATACCCTTCACCACACTGTGGTACAGGGTATTAAAAAAAAGGCGCATCCGCATTTTTTACAATGGAAAAATTAGAAATGCGTACATTTATTGTACGCGGATGCTTCTTTGCGGATGCGTCTTTTTTGAACAACTGTTTCTATATGAAGGAGTTGCCAGATCGAAACAAAATTTAGCATATGTTCATAACAGATATGGAAGTTTCCAAAACACTTAATTTGTTTTTTTTATACCGCACTTTTTGTGCTAGGCTAAGAACTTTCCGAACTGCCCTCGTATGTCTTTGCGCATATGTTTGTAACAGGCAAGAGGAAACAAGATAGACCCATGGTTCCTTTTGAGAATATGCATAGAATCACATTCTGAGTCGATATATGCATATCCGTCCGTCTCTCCATGTTAAATTGTAAACAAAGGTCACATGTATGATTTGAATTTGATCAAATTTGGCATAGCTCACTTTTTTGGCCCAAAGATGAACCCTTATGAAATTGGAGAAAATCGGTTCATATTTATATGTAGCTCTCATATATTTTTTCGTCCGATTTAATGTAAATGGTGCACCAAAGTCCCTATATATCTTTCGATTTGCACGAAATTTGGCACAGCGTACTGAATTAAGTCTAAAACCAGTAAGGAAAGTAGTAAAGTCGGACGGGGCCGACTATATGATACCCTTCACCACTTTGAGTATATTCAACAAATGAATCCTAACAGAAGTCGTATGTGTCAGTCTCGTTTCCTTCTGCCTGTTACAAACATATGCACAAAAACATAATATCCTGTGCCAGAAAAAAAAATTGGTTCAAGAACCTCAAAACCTGGGGGCTACCAGAAAAAATTGACCAATATTTATAGTGTAGGGGAGAGGGGGGCACCTTTGAACAGCGCTCATAAAATCTTGGTTTAATAGTTTTCCGACCCGCAACCACATTTTTGTATATGGCAATCTTGTTCTCTATATGCGTAAACCACTATGGCTTGCCTTTTCAGTTGTCGAAAAATTGTGCATGGGTGACCATGTTTTCTCAGTGTCATTGCAAACTTTTATTCATTTGTTTGTAAGGGCGCAGGAAGAATTCTGTGATAGTTTTCTTTCGTCAAACAAATTTTTTGCATTCCAACAATCATTTCAAACATAACTAATGTAATTTCTTTCATATGTATTTATTACAAAAAGAGTTATTTTAAATTTCCGTAAAAAGCCATGGGTGGGGCACCTTTGAACATGCTCATTAAACTCGAGTAAAAAAAGGAGTTTTTAACTTTTGGCTTCGATTTCTCAAAATTTCAAATGGGCTAATAAGATTACGAAATTAGCTGTATTTTTCACCATATTAATTTTTGTTTTCAAGTCATTTTATGTTTTAATAACTTTTGATCTAAATTTTTTAAATTTTGAACATTTTTATATATTTTTTAATGAATTAATGCATTTCTGATATGTATGAATAAAATACATACATATTTGAACATAAACACTGTAAAAAACCATGTCGTTCAAAAATGCCAACCCCTGTTCAAAGCTGCCCCCCTGGGGGGCAGTTTTGAACACTTTGAGTTCGTCCATTAAAACAGTGATAAAATATATTTATCAAGCTTATAGTATGGAATATGTATATCCATTTTAAAGGTTACATATGTACCTATTAGTTAAAATTTATAAGAAACCAAAAATTATAAAATACAAAATTTTATAAGGCTTGAAAGCAAAAAGTGTTCAAAGGTGCCCCCCTCTCCCCTACAGATGTGCTACCTAATAAGAACTCGACGTACTAAACTACAGTCAATTTGGTTGAAAAATACGATCAGAACCCCCAAAATACCAAAAATTTGGGGTACCAGAAAAACTAGACCTATATTTATAATTTTTAGTGGAGTAATTTGGTACCCAATAAGAACCCAATGTACAAAATTTCAGAGAATTCAGTTATAAAACAAGCCCAAGAACCCGAAAATACCGAAAATTGGGGGTACCCTTATATGGGGGCTATCCGAAAAAATGGACATTTATTTTTAAGTACCAAATTTCAGCAAATTCGGTCGAAAAATGCTATCAAAACCGCCAAAATACCGAAAATTGGGGATAATCTTATATGGGGGCTATCCGAAAAATGGACCTTTATTTGCTACCCAATAAGAACTCAATGTACAAAATTTCAGCGAATTCAGTTAAAAAACGCGCTCAAGAACCTCAAAATACCGAAAATTTGGGGGTACCCATAAATGGGGCTATCCGAAAAAATTGACCTTTATTTATAATTTTTGGTAGAGAGATTTGCTACCCAATAAGAACTCAAAGTACCAAATTTCAGCGAATTCAGTTAAAAAACAAGAACCTCAAAATACCGAAAATTTTGGGGTACCCTTATATGGGAGCTATGCCTAAACGTGGACCGATTTTCTCCAATTTCAATAGGTTTCGTCCTTGTGCCAATTAAGTGACCTGTGCCAAATGTCATCAAATCGGATCATAAATGCGACCTGTACTTTGTTAACAAAAATACATGGACGGACGGACAGACGGACGGACGGACAGACGGACACGCATAAATCGACTCAGAAAGTGATTCTATGCATATTCTCAAAAGGAACCATGGGTCTATCTCGATTATTTTTGCCTGTTACAAACATATGCACAAAGACATAATACCCTGTACCACAGTGTGGTGAAGGGTATAATTATGGGTGTACAGCTTTGTGACAATTGGTTCATATTTAGATATAGCTGCTATATATATTTTCGTCCGATTTTATGTAAATGCAGCACCGTATTGCCAATATTTGCCCGATTGGGACAAAATTTTGCACAGAGTATTGGATTAGGTCCTGATTTATGTATGCGAAGTTTTGTTGAAATCGGTTCAGATTTAGATATAGCTCCCACATATATTTTCGTCCGATTTTAGGTGAATAATGCACGAAACTCACAATATTTTTCCGATTGAGACAAAATTTTGCACAGCGTACTGAATTAAGTCCAGTTTGATGTCTGTGAAGTTTTGTGAAATCGGTTCAGATTTAAATATAGCTCCTATATATTTTGTCGTCCTATTTTATGTAAATGGATCACCATACTGCCAATATTTTTCCGATTGAGACAACATTTTTCACAGCGTACAGAATTAAGACCACATTGATGTCTGTGAAGTTTTTTTCGAAATCGGTTCAAATGTAGATATAGATCCCATATACATTTAGTTAAATGGGTGCATCGAGAAGTCTAAGACAAGGTTGCTCAGTTAGGTCCAGATTTCCATACATAATTTTGACATTAAATTTCTTCATAGATTTCAGAATGTCATGTGTATGGTTTTTTATTGGTTGAAATATCTATGTAGATCACAAATTTAATTTCACCCGATTCCATTTCAATGGTCCTCCCTGTTTGTTCTATCTACAGGATATTGAACACATTAGCATCTCTTGTATGTACCAAAAGTGGTGGAGGGTATGATATAGTCGGTCCCGTCCGACTTTTGAACTGTCCTAACTGGTTTAATCAAGTCATAGTATTTTCAGCCTAAAAGTATGCTCGTTAATTGAAATTTCTCAGACAAGCAACTGTTTCTCAATACATATTTGTATGTGGCGTCCCCTATAGGATTTTGGAGGTATTAATATAACGCGTATTTTTATGCCCTTCTTGGCTTGCAGTTTAAAAAATGTTGACGCTTAAATACGTATTTTTGAAGATGTTCTCGCAATCAGAAACATTTCATTTCAAATCGACATTTTCACACTCTTACCTATTTTAAATCTCGCTTTCAATATCGTTTTGTTTCTTCCATTTTTTATTAAAAACGACAAAAGTTTGTCTTCTAATTGTACACTAAATACTTTTTTTATTTCATTCATAATTTAATTTTGTTTTTTAAAACTACATAAAAGCATAATAATAATTAAATTGAATTAATTTATGTGTTTTTCGTATTTTATTCTTTGCATATGGCTCAACAGAGTTAATTTTGGAAATTGAAAAGATCACATTTGCGTTCGTTATGAAATAAATTACGATAGACTTAGAGAGAAAGATAAATGAGTATTTAATTCAAACTTACAAACTATGTATTTTTATTTCAAAGAAATTGGAAACAATAATAAATTAATAAATGCCTAAATTAAATGTTTTGTTTTGATTTTACGTAGATTTGGTATTGTTAAAAGTGGACTGTTGTGAAATTGACCAATCATCAATCAATGGCTAACCATGTACATATTTTTCATTCATTCTTTGTTTTTTGTTTGGTTTTAAAAATACTTAAATTATGGATTTCTTTTTTTACTATCATTTAAAATCAATCTCATCTTATAAATATGTTCAAGTTTCCATTTTGAGTGAAGCCGTTTAGTGATTTGTTTTCATTTATTTAGAGGACAGAATTTGTCTGGTTTGGTTTATTAGTAATAATATTGAAATTTGTCAAGGTGATAACACAACTTTAAATACATATAGATTTATGTAATTAATTGTTATATACGATGTCCTTACCACATTTGTCAACGGGTTTTGTTTTAGGTTAGGAGATTATTAGAAAGTATAGTTAGCATATATAAACAATCTTCTAAAGTTTTCGTAATAAATGTTTGCTTTGGTTTAATATATTATATTTTTGTATAGCTGTTATGTTTAGCCTCTCTGTATTTTCCGTACGCGTTTTTGTTGTTGTTTTGCTTTACACATTTAATTGCGATGTGTAGATTGGATTTAGGATTTAAAATAATTTCGATTTATTTTTCTGCCTGCACTATAACTTTTTCATATCGCATTTTATCAGGTGTATCCCAACAACTTTTCAAACATGTAAACACCAATACATTGCCATATTCCAGTGGCGCATTCTCATTGCTTTGTTGCATTTTTAATTTTGGTATTAATGTGGACAAAATTTGAACTTCACAAATTGTATCACCATTACAGTTGGGACATTTCGGTATAGCTTCTTGCAGTGGTGCGATTAGTAAAGGCAAGGTGTCACGAGAATATCTGGAAATAAAATAAACGTAATTCTTTAGAAAATATTCTTTAAAAATCCAGGCTTATATATTTTAATTCTTCAGAAAATATTCTTTAAAATCCACTCTAATTTATGATAAACTTCTTCAGAAGAATTCTTGAAAAGTCCACCTCGTATTTGCGAACTTCCTCCAAAAATAATTTTTTAAAAAATCCACCTCGTATTTGCGAACTTCCTCCAAAAATAATTTTTTAAAAAATCCACCTCGTATTTGCGAACTTCCTCCAAAAATAATTTTTTAAAAAATCCACGCCTATATTTGCGCACTTCTTCGAAAAATATTTTTTTTTTAAATCCACGCTTATGTCTTTCGAACTTCTTCAAAAAATATTTTTTTAAAAATCCACGCTTATGTTTTTCGAACTTCTTTGGAAAATATTTTTTAAAAAATCCACGCTTATGTTTTTCGAACTTCTTTCGAAAATATTCTTTAAAAAATCCACGCTTATTCCTTTCGAACTTCTTTCGGAAATATTCTTTAAAAAATCCACTCTTATTCTTTTCGAACTTCTTTCGAAAATATTCTTTAAAAAATCCACGCTTATTCTTTTCGAACTTCTTTCGGAAATATTCTTTAAAAAATCCACTCATATTCTTTTCGAACTTCTTTCGGAAATATTCTTTAAAAAATTCACGCTTTTTTTTCGTACTTCTTTCGAAAATATTCTTTAAAAAATCCACGCTTATTTTTTTCGAACTTATTTCGAAAATTTTCTTTAAAAAATCCATGCTTATTTTTTTCGAACTTCTTTCGAAAATATTCTTTAAAAAATCCACGCTTATATTTTTCGAACTTCTTTCGAAAATATTCTTTAAAAAATCCACGCTTATTTTTTTCGAACTTCTTTCGAAAATACTCTTTAAAAAATCCACGCTTATTTTTTCGAACTTCTTTCGAAAATATTCTTTAAAAAATCCACGCTTATTTTTTTCGAATTTCTTTCGAATATATTCTTTAAAAAATCCACGCTTATTTTTTTCAAACTTCTTACGAAAATATTCCTTAAAACATCCTCGCTTATTTTTTTCAAATTTCTTTCGAAAATATTCTTTAAAAAATCCACGCTTATTTTTTCGAACTTCTTGAGAAAATCTTCGTTAAAAAAATCCACGCTGTATTTGTCGAACTTCTTTCAAACATATTCTTTAAAAAATCCACGCCTATATTTTTCGTACTTCTTGAGAAAATCTTCGTTAAAAAATCCACGCATATATCTTTCGAAAATATTCTTTAAAAAATCAACGCTTATATTTTTCGAAAATATTTTTTAAAAAATCCACGCTTATATTTTTCGAACTTCCTTCGAAAATATTCTTTAAAAAATCCACGCTTATATTTGTCGAACTTCTTGCGAAAATATTCTTTAAAAAATCCACGCTTATATCTGTCGAACTTCTTACGAAAATATAGTTCGATAGAAAATTTTCTTTTTAAAACCCGCCTCTACCCGTCGAAGACTATTATAGGTGTGGCATTATCCCCTTATTATTCATATACCGTGTAGATATAAATTTACTCTGCCAACGAAGTGTGATATCAGTCCTGCTACGAAAATTCCAAAAAAGGACAGTTTTTTGTCTTTATAAATCTTTTTAGAAAATGGAAGGTACTTTTTCAGTCGGTGAAGATTGATATTTTATATGAATCATCCGCTAAATCTTCTACAGAAGCATATTTGTATGCACTCACCTTAAAATTTGACCAGGATTCTGTTGAATAGTACTTAAGAAATGATGGAACATTAAATCACCATGTGCCGGTAAAGCTTTCTCATAGGCTTCCTGATCTTCGGGAGTTGCTGCGGCCACACCACTACCACCACCTCCTGCACTACCGCCAGCACTACCAGGTGACATTGCCGATTCATCCTGCTTCTTATATTCCAAATAAAGTTCACGAATATGTTCGGCCGACAATGAACCACCATATGATTCATAATCCTGACTCGATGCATTCATTTCTAAATCTACCGCAATAAAATATGGTTTAATTGTGAGATCGGATAATTTAGCTAATGGTCCTAAGGCGGCCGGTGTAGGTGTATGCTTAAGTAAGGCTATTAAATCACGTTCAGGCTTTTGAGGTGTTTCGACTAGAACCACATCCGTCTCAGGTCCTTCAATTTCTGCACATATTGCTGCTGAAGCTGCAGCAGCAATGCCATTACCACCACCACCGCCAGCAGCGGCATCAGCACAATTGGCATTGGGATCTTCGGCAACGTTTTGTGCAGCCCGAACATCCATTTGATTGAAATTCATTATCAGTTCATTGTCCATGGAATTGCTTTCATCTTCGTCATCGTCCTCATTCGACGATGAGGGACGTTCATCGCCATCACTGGACAATGGTAAATTGACATTTTTTCCACTGATCACATTGCCATTTTCCTCATTCGATTCATTGCATTCGTCCGCCTCTGTATCCATTTTTTCTATGGTTTCGCCAACAATTGCCTGATCGTCGACGGCACCCCAATCATCTGCTCCACTACACCAAGACAGCTTTCCGGTTGCTTGCTTGCTCGCCTCCTTTTTCTTTTTCTGCTTATTATTTTTGGGTGAAGCTACAGCCTTTATAATATCACTATGATCAGGTGTATCCAAATGTTGGGTCCTGACGCATAGCCAACTCTTGGAATTTTGCGAGCAAACAGGATTCAAGCATGCAAATATATAAAGGGTACGATGAAATTGAGACATTTCTAGAGGTGCATACAGTTGTACTATCAATGGACGTGCTGTGCCGCATAAAGGACAGGCTGGAATTTTTATTTCACCATTTGGCCAATCCTAGAAAAAATATAAGGACAAAAAAGGAAAAATCAATTATTTGTTGTACGGTGAAATATGGTTAAATTGAATGTAAACTTAAGTGTCATATTCGCAGATTCTTATCCTTTTTTAATAAAATCAATAACAGTTATTTGCATTTGGTGTACCCATCTAAACTTCGAGATACAAAATGTCACAAAACCGTTCACATCCATCTACTTATTTCATTTCCCCAATTTCCTCTTCAATATGATGGAATTCAAATCCTAGTCATCGTAACCCTTTTCCACTGTTCCCCGAATCATACCACACGCACCATCATACCACCACATAGCAAATAAACGAAAAAAATTACTATAGAACACCTACCGCACTACCACCAATTTTATTTATGGTACTATTCAATAACGAAGCATGCTTATCCGTAATCTCTTCGTCCTCATAGCCTAGATAGACTGTGCTTTTATTTTTGGCCATATTTTGGAATTTTAAGTTATAATTTATAGTCACTCAACAATTTCTTTAAATTTGCTCTTGCGAATTTGTCTCCTTGTGTCAGTAGTATTGTTAGGGATACATAGGTTGATCTTCGACCAAAATAATCGATATTATGCTATCGGCTTTTCGACCTCGAGAACCCTCGTTGTGTGACAGGTGTACATCACATGATGTTGCCATATGGTTACGGATTTAAATAAAGTATTGCATCCATTACAGTGGGACATTTCGGTGTAGTTCTTGCTGTAGTGCGATGAGTAAATGCAAGGGGTCACGAGAATATCTGAAAATAAAATGCATATATATTAAAATGTGAATCTAATAAGAAGTCGGACAGTCGGAGGGTTTTGGGGGAGAGTTACGGAGGAACTGACCTAGGGCCTATTATCTAAGATTGGCTAGCGAGAATGACGCTAATAAATAATCTATTTCTAACGCTGGGGTTTTGGGTAACATCGTACTCATCAGTGTTTTAATGTTGCAGTCAGATTAACGACTGCACCGAAGCCTTGTTGATACTTAGGCACCTCAACAGATTATTCAGTCTTAATTGTCAAGTTCTTACCATGGTATGAGGCTATGCCACGGAGAACCTCGATACCACACAAAAAACCCATGGAACTTATCGAACTTCTTTAGAAAATATTTTCTAAAAAAAACACGCCTATATTTGCCGAACTTATTGACAAAATACTCTTTAAAAAATTCGAACTTCTGGAGAAAATATTCTTTAAAACAATTCACGCTTATATACGAAAAAATATATTCGTTAAAAATCCAAGTCTTTTTTATAGAACTTCTTTTGGAAATGTTCTTTAAAAACTCAATCCGATTCAATTCATTCAAAATTGGAGAACATGTGAAATCTTCAGAAAATTTTCTATAAAAATTAATATTAGTATATTTGTTGAACACCTTCCTTAAATATTCCTTAAAAAATCCACGCTTATATTTATGGATCATCTTCATAAAATATTCTTTGAAAAACCCACGCTTATATTTTTCAAACTTCTTTAGAAAATATTTTTTAAAAATTCCACGCCTGGGGATAGTCTTTTGAAAATTTTTTATAAGAAATCCAACTTATATTTTTCAAACTTCTTTAGAAAATATTTTTTTAAAAATCCACGCTTACATATGTCGAAGTTCTTTAGAAATCCACGATTATATTTGTCAAACTTGGGAAGCCCAATATATTTATACGGTAGCAGCGAATCAAACAAGCCAATGACCCCTTGATCCATGACATAACAAGTGGTCATGGGTTTCTACTATCATTCCTTAAAGAACGACTACTAGTGTTCATTGGTTTAAAGTTAGGGTTCCGACTGCATCCGAGCAGAACCAATTCCTTGACATGGTAAGGACGAAATGCCGCAGTCGACACTATGTCCTCCACTTACACGAAAATGTGTGGATTCTAAAAACTTTAAAATGAATTCCTCAACAATCGAGGACATGAGCCGTTACGGCGCTTTTAAATCTCATTGTGGAATACAGTAAATTCCGTCTTAGTAAGCAATGGCGGACTTGGTATCCACGTTAATCAAACTCCCACCCTCTAATCAGCAAAGAACTTCAGATATCGTACAGAAGAATGCGGCCTGTTCATATGTGGAAATTGCCTTCCTTGCGTTTAAAAGCAAATGCTTCTGAGGGACCAAAATTTCTAAGTTGACAGAGGCCCTGAACAGTAAGGCATATAACTATAAGGAATTCCTTCCTGAAGACCTGTCTACCAAAGTGGAGACGAAGGATAACCGGACATAGAAGCCACAGCGAAAACGAGTAAGAATGTATATGGCCTATAAAAGAGGTTGTCCAGGGACACCAGCTGGATGTCAGCTGCTTTTCAAGTTTGTGAATTAACTTCTAATATGAGACTTCATTAGACTTCAGAAAAAACAACATACGTTCGGTAGCTGGGTTACCTTATCAATAGATCTTGGAATGTAGTAAAATTTGTCGCAGCAAGCACAGAGACTTCATTCGAAGACGTTACGAAGATGGGCAAGGTTACTATTGGGAAGGTTACTATTGATGGGACTGACCTTGGTTGCGATTCGATTCGTCTGGAAAAATTTGTTCATATCATATATAGTTTAAATATATGATATGAACAAATATTTCCAGACGAATGTTTTAATATTTTGTTTATATCAATTTGGTTTGGGTTCATTTTAATATAATAGAAAAGGAAACATTGTAATTAGTCGGTAGCATTCAAGGTTCGTGTAAGAAGCGAATATTATCGGTAATTTTGGTTAAAAAGCCTCCATACTGTAAATTTTTTGTTTACGTTTTCATACAATTAAGTCAAATTTAAAAGCATTTTGACAGCACAAGTGAAATCATCTGGCCTTATCGGACGACCTTATTGTTGGGCCATAAAGCCATATCAATCTGCTGATCGAACCAAACCTCTGAAAATCATTACCTCTGGTTATGTAATAACTAATTTTACCTTAATAATTGTACAATGTTATCATGCACCAAAAATTTAGTCCCGGGAAATAAGAAAGTGTTGATACTGTTTCAGTTCTAACCCGATGTGCATGTGTTTTGGTTCGGTTACTCACAACAAGCACATCACAGTTCGATTAACCGATTAGTCGAAAGTCGATCTAGTAATCCCTTGATAGTTCTATGCGGGTGTGTTTGTGTCCGAAGAAAATGAAAAATTATTTTGCTCCGTTGTTTACTCATCAGAAAAGTTTTTAATTTTGTGTTGCGGATCTTAGTTTTGTGAAAATTCAGTAAATAAAAGGTACAGAAACCGATAAAGTATAAGAATATAATGAAATAAAAGTAAAATACGAGTTTTTGTTGGAATTTAAAGCTTTGCAAAGAAGTAATTGACACACCCAACCCCCCTTTCCTATCGGATTGTAAGTGGGTGCAAGTTTTAATGAAACATTAGGGTGGCATATTACACACGATGACATAGTTTTTAACACCAGACACAAATAATCAATATTTGTTGCTATTTTAGATTCGGTGACCAAATTCAAAGTGAATGTGAAGAAGAGCAGGTTCGGAGACGAATGTAAACAACTTATGATACAAGCGGGGTTTAGAATAAGCGTGCAACAACATGACGGAAAAAATTACTCTGGCAGATGCCTTATCCAATGTGGAGGTATTGGATGAACTATCGCTGCCCGATGAACAGCCATGCATTGAGGCCCAACCATGTTCGGTAATTTATAAGGCAAATTTTGATACTAATTTTGAGGACCGTAATGGTTTTGTTACCGGTATTGCCAAATACATTGAAGAGGCTACAACACATGCAAATTTGGTGAGTATGAAATTACAAATTTCCATTAAAAGTATTTTAAAGACTGTGTATTTTTTTTAGAACATTTTACTCGATGAAGGCCAAAAGCACTCGGTTATGCTGTACACCTGGCGTTGCTGTTCCCGAGCTATACCACAACCCAAGTCAAATGAACAGCCCAATCGTGTTGAGATTTATGAGAAGACCGTAGAGGTTTTGGCTCCCGAAGTCAATAAACTTTTGAATTTTATGTATTTCCAACGGAAAGCCATTGAAGCGTTTTCGGGCGAAGTTAAACGTCTTTGCCATACCGAAAAACGTAAAGACTTTGTATCTGAAGCATATCTATTAACTTTGGGTCGTTTTATCAATATGTTTGCAGTCCTGGATGAATTGAAGAACATGAAGTCTAGTGTGAAAAACGATTACAGTACATATCGAAGAGCGGCTCAATTTCTAAAAGTTATGTCAGACTCTCACACTCTACAGGAGTCTCAGAATCTTTCCATGTTTTTGGCAACACAAAATAAGATACGTGACACTGTCAAAGATACGCTGGAGAAGATTGTTGGCTATGAGGATCTGCTGTCGGATGTGGTGAACATTTGTGTACACATGTTCGAGACAAAAATGTATTTGACACCCGAAGAGAAGCATATGTTGGTTAAGGTAATGGGCTTTGGTCTTTTTCTAATGGATAGTGATGCGTGCAACATCAATAAATTGGATCAAAAGAAAAAGATCCGCCTGGATCGCATAGATCGTATCTTTAAGAATTTGGAAGTGGTACCATTGTTTGGCGATATGCAAATTGCCCCCTTCAATTATATAAAGAGAAGTAAACACTACGATCCCAGTAAATGGCCTTTGTCTAGTTCGAATGCTGCCAGTCCCCAGGCAGATCTTATGGTACATCTGCCACAGATACGTGAAGATCATGTAAAATATATATCGGAATTGGCTCGTTACACAAATGAGGTTACAACAACTGTTAAGGAAAATCCTTCAGATGCTGAAAATCGAGCAACAGCAGATTTGGCATTAAGAGGTTTACAGCTACTGTCGGAGTGGACAAGTGTTGTAACGGAATTATATTCTTGGAAGCTATTGCATCCAACGGATCATCATCAGAATAAAGAATGTCCCGTCGAGGCAGAAGAATATGAGCGAGCTACGCGTTACAATTATACATCGGAAGAGAAATTTGCTTTAATCGAAGTTATTGCCATGATTAAGGGTTTACAGGTGGGTTAAGATTTCCATTGGAAATTATAGATTTTTTATTAATGAATTTTCTATTTTCCCAGGTCCTTATGGCCCGCATTGAAACGGTTTTGTGTGAAGCCATACGACGTAATATTTATTCGGAACTGCAAGATTTTGTTCAACTTACATTGCGTGAACCCTTACGCAAGGCCGTCAAGAATAAAAAAGATCTTATACGTAGTATAATAATGTCGGTGCGTGAAACAGCTGCTGACTGGCAAAAGGGCTACGAACCAACAGATGATCCAGCTATAAAGGGTAAAAAAGATCCAGATGGTGGTTTTCGTATTCATGTGCCACGCCTGAATGTGGGACCATCTTCAACACAACTGTATATGGTTCGTACCATGTTGGAGTCTTTGATTGCCGATAAATCGGGAGGCAAACGCACTTTACGTAAAGATATCGATGGCAATTGCCTTATGCAAATTGATGCATTCCATAAGACATCATTCTATTGGAGTTATT